GAGTCTACCTACAGCAAGTGTAAGTTTCCTTAGAGCTAAGACAAATTCCAATCTCCGCAATTGTTCTTAGGGGAAGAAGGCACTTGCAGTAATCATTAGGAACACCAGATGGTATCATTGTGCTATGATTCTCTTTAGTGTTACAGTGTGTAATAGGTTTAGTGCCTGTCTCACAAACAAGATCACGAAACTGCGGGGGAAATTGGGCGAAGCCACTGGTCAAAATCAGCCGCATGGCTTCGGGTGTGAAATTGACCAATAGAACGGGGGCGCAACAGCGAGGCAGCTCTAGTGCGAAATCAGCCATGGTCTGAAGAAACTGCAAGTGTTGTCACAAGTTCGGAACCAGTTCTGGGCAATGACCACTTGCTATCAATGTGTTAAAGGAGTATCAGACAGCTGAGAAACTTGCTGAAAACTAGCAGTTCTTAAACTTTGTTGAATTTTGGAGCACCTCAGTTCTGGTTCATCATTTATTTGCACACCACTACATTTTTACACCATAACTGCTATGTGACAAGCTGCTCAAAAGGCTTCTGAATTAAAAGTTATTCCTCATATAGTTTTATGCAGCTGTATTAATGCTGAAGCAGAAAAGAGAGGGAACTGTTGCACAATGTATGTATGCTCTGTTTTACTGATAGAAGCATCAAACATTACGAAGTACCTACTACCAGCCAAATGCACAAACACTTCTGTATTCAGTTGACGGTACTTGTTTTGTTCAGAGGGGAAGTTGCACAGAGGAAATGCACATTTGTAGCCTGCATATGTTCCCCTTTGAATATTGTATGAAATATCATCAGTCAAAAAGGGAAGTGACTGCGTGCTCGTTTGCTACTTGCTTGGAGTTTGGGAACTGTTCTGAAGTTTATTTATTTGAACTAGTACTATTTGGCATCCTCCACTTGAAAGACTCACAGGGTAGCAGTTTGTTCTTGAAGACACTGCTGGAACTCACTTGCTACCTATCAGTGCTGCCCTTCCTCCTCATCCTACAAACCTAGGGCAAAATTGTACAGTAATTGCACAAGTAATATGGGATAAGCACACAAAAAAGCAGCCAACTGTACAGTGCTCACTGTGTACAACATTTACATAAACAGAAATATATAAATTATTATGATTAAATAGTCTTCATGGTGCCCATCTAAAAACAATTTGGATTCAGAAAAAAACTTGCTTTTCCAAACTAAATACCTTTTTTGCAGACAAGGCGCTTTGGGATCAAGTTCAAAGCAAGACTCATAAACCTAAAAAAAAGTCAGGTCTAATCCTTTACTTGTCTCCACACACAAAAAGACATTTCATGATGGAAAGCTAGGGTTGCCAGGTCCAGGTTGGGAAACTCCTGGAGATATGGGGATGGAGCCTGGGGAGGACATGGACCTCAGAGGGGTACAGTGCCTTAGAGGCCACCTTTCAAAGCAGCCATTTTCTTCAGCGGAACTGATCTCTGTAGTCTGGAGATAAGCTGTAATTATGGGGGATCCCCAGGTCCAAATAAGGAGGCTGGCATCCCTAGGTGAATTCATTTTAGCATTCATATCAGATTAAATTCATGTTACTTTATAGTGTGATTGCCATCTATAGCTGCATTCTATGCCACATTCCCCTCCCCCCGACCACTGTTCTGTATCTGTGCTCCCAAATGCCCAGAGTCATTGAGGAAGGGCATGTGGATGGTACACAGTGGTGGCACTCTTGGTGATAATGGTGGCAGCACTCCCAGCTCCATTCACTGGCCAGTGCTGTCCTGGAAAGGGTGTTCAGGTGTTGATTGTTTTATTAGTGTTATTGTTATGTATGGCATTTGCCTCTTGTTAGCCACCCTGAGCTCATGTGGAAGGGCGGGATATAAGTCGATGATGATGGGTGATGGGTGGTGGTGGTGGTGGTGGTGGTGGTGGTGGTGGTGATGAGAGGGCTTGCAAGCAGGAGAAGGATGCACAAGGATGTGGAGGGCATGTGGGACTGGAAAGGAGTGTAGTAACTCCTTCACAAGGTTTTGAATCCAACACTCCTGCAACAATTAATGACTCTTAGGTGTGAATCTCAAAATCATTTTGATTTTTGCCATTGTCATCTAAGTTGGAGTAAATATGAGAAAACATATTGGCAAAAATTGTGCAAAAGAATGTCAGAACCCACAGCTAACAACGAGGTACACGCATTCAGGAACGGTAATACTTTTATTGCAGAGCTATAGATGCAGTAACATAGGCACTGTTAAGAATGGCGACGGCCCCATGGGCATAATAGGATATAGGGTATTCGTATGCAACCCCCCCCCCCCAGTACTGGCCAATTAGGCGCCCTCCCGCGCACGGGCTAAGGCTTAGAGACCGTTAGGTAGCTGAAGCTGAGAACGAACACTCTCCCACGGCACCTAGTGAAATCCCAGACACTACAACACCCTCCTGCACATCTGTATAGATAAGTGTTTCGGCGCACAGCAGAGAAATCACAGAAAGGAATGCAGTAGCAATTAACCTGGAAGGAAAGCAATAGCAATTAACCAGACACAGACCAACCTCCCCAACCTTCATGGCAGCGTAGCTGACAAAGAATCACAGCTGATTTGTCACTATGTCATGCAGTGGGGATATCTGGAGCACCTTCTGCTCCTTATTTGATGGATAATTTCAGATTGCTTTCCCTAAACAGTGTTGATAGGATGAGTAAAAATGGTCCTGTCCTTTCAATATAGGCTTAATGGGGCATTATTTACCAGGTGATGTTATTTATCCTCCATGCCATGAAAAGCTTCAGCTGCCCATTTCCACGTATTAAGAAAAGACATTTTTCTCCAGGCCTGTTGGCAACCCTAAAAGAATCCTGGGTGTTGTGGAGGTAACCAGGGCTTTTTTTCCTGGGGGAACATGCCGGAATGGAGTTCCTCTTTGACAAAATTCTTTTTTAAATATTTAAAAGTTCATGAGTTTTTAGTTTATACAGATTGAGAACTTCAGATCCCTCTTGAGAGTTCTGGCACTCTTTTTCCAAAAGAAAAGCCCCGTAAGTAACTATCTGTTGTTTGGACACCTGCTTGCCCTAGCTAATACAATCTTGCTCAGTGGTTGTAGGGGCTCTTTTGTTACAAATATTTATTTATTATTCATTTATTTGCAGGGCTTTTTTGTAGAAAAAGCCCAGCAGGAACTCATTAGGATATTAGGCCACCCCCAATAGCAGAAACTCATTAGCATATTAGGCCATACACCCCTGACAGGACAGCTCATTAGCATATTAGGCCACACCCATGCCTTCCCTTGGCTTCCCCTATCCTTCCAGGGGGGCCCCCTGGCCTGCCCACCTCGGAGTCGCGGGGGGGAGGCTCTCCAGGCCTTCCCTCTGTAGCCACGCACGGAGAGGTTTTGGCTATAGTGGGTGTGGCCAACTCAGAAGCCAGCCGGAACTCCATTCCTATGCATTCTGAATGCATTAATCTTATTTATTTATTTGTCAGATTTATACCCCGCCCTCCCGGGTTATGAACACCTCCATTACAGAAAGAGTATTTGCCAAGCCCCTGTCATTATTAGGCCTTTTCTAAATCAACCCTTCCTAGAGAAGCAGATGTTGGCCAATTACACACTAGTGTCTAGTTCCTGGGAGAGATGTTTGAATGGGTGATGGGAGAACAACTCTGATGGGAGAACAACTCGAGCATTTCTTGGATGAAACTTCTGCCCTTGACCCTTTTAAGTCTAGAAGGAGAAGCTTGTGAGAGACCCCAAGCAATTGTTCAAATCATTCACAGTACTGTTTGCATTGTGCTACTCTCGTATTTAAGCTATATTTAAATAAATTTTATTTCATTCAAGTATACCAGCTCTGGAAAGAATATTCCTCAGACCACATAGACCCCTGAGGCTTTTGAGAAACTTAAACTGATGTTCACGTCTGAGCCCGTGCTGGCGCGCCCTGATGAAACTAAAAAATTCATTGTCCAGACTGATGCCTCGGATGTGGCGATGGGGGCCGCTATTTTGCAAGAAGGGGAAGATGGTCGTTTACACCCCCTTGCATTTAAGTCTAGAAGGAGAAGCTTGTGAGAGACCCCAAGCAATTGTTCAAATCATTCACAGTACTGTTTGCATTGTGCTACTCTCGTATTTAAGCTATATTTAAATAAATTTTATTTCATTCAAGTATACCAGCTCTGGAAAGAATATTCCTCAGACCACATAGACCCCTCATGAACGCCTGAAACCCTCGACTTACCTACCCAGTGTTAGATATTATATTATAAAGGTTTGGAAAGCCTTAAAATTCCTGGTGGCAGCCAGAATACCCAGTAGAGAGAAATAAAAAGGAACACTTTTAAAGTAAAACCAGACCTCCCCAGTTAAGGGGTTGTGTCAACTACTCTTGAAGACAACTTGGAAATAATTAGGGCAAAATGCTGCAGGTGTTCATTGATGGGAGTAGCCTAGAGGTCTCATATTACCCAGTCTTACAATTGTCACATTGGCTGTTGATATGCTTCTAGGTTCAGTTCAAGGTGCTGAAGCTTATCCTTAAGTCCTTTCAATTCCATGAGCCCACATACCTGAAGAACCACTTCTCCCTGTAGAAACCTGTGGGGTACCTTGGGTCATCACATCAGTGGTTTCTCTCTGTCCTTTCTTGTAGTAGGGTGCAGTAAGCCGCAACTGATTTGTGGCCATTTTCAGTTGCTGCCCCCATTTTATGGAATAGATTCCCTGCATGTGTGTGAGAGGCCTCCTTACTAATGGCTTTCAGGTGGAACTGTATGGCTGAACTATATAGAAGTACTTTTAGAAAATCTATCTTGAGGGTTTTTAGTCTTTGCCAGTAGGTGATTCTTTTACTACTTAGTTTTATTAGGCCAAGTCATCTTCTTTGAGCATGAAGAAAACTGAAAGTGCTACCCTTCACACTTATGTGAGGATTTCTGCATGATTACCATAAGGAATCCATAGGACATTTGAAATTACTAATGTTTACTTTCTACTCTTCGTTGTCTTTCAAAGGTGAAAGCTACAGATGCAGATGAAGGTGTGAATGGCCGCGTGTGGTACAGGATTGTCAAAGGTAAGTCCAAATGTTTCTCAAAAAATGTAAAGATATCCTATATATCCTATGTTCTGAGTAACAGCGGGCTTTTTAAATTACAGTAGGATGTTTTACAAGGCCATATTCACTCTTCTTACACTCCAGCAGCCCAAAAGGCACTATTCCATTTCTTTTCCATTTAAACCTTAATTAATTCCACTTCTGATATATGCAACTTTCACTATAATGAAATTATAGTAAGAGTCCATTAACAATTCATTTTTTATAACAGAGAGATTAAGTGTATTGCAGAAAATAGCTTACATTGTATCAGTATATCTTAATATTGGATATTCTGAGATGGGGATCCAAATCACACTAACTTGGAAGTTAATTCATCTGACAGTGAGATTCACTTCCAAGTAAATCTGCTAAGATAGGAAGGGTGAGACATTAAGCATGGCTCCAAAGGAGAAGTGGAATCACTTGGGGATAGAACTTTGACTCCAGCCAATAAGAACTCTGGCTGGAAGCTGGAAGGAAAAGAACTTTGAGGTGTGTTTGAAAAAGGAAGGTTGGAAAAAGACAGTTGGAGGAGAACTGAGGACAGACGGCCCCTTGGAAAGGGCCCTGGGAGAATTCAAAGAGGAGACACAGTTAAGAAGAGCAGGTCAGCAAGAAGTGAACAAGATTCAGTGCCAATGACAGCATTTATTTTATTTTATTTTATTTATTATATTTATAACCCGTCCTCCCCGCAAGCAGGCTCAGGGCGGCTCACATTGCCTGGCACAGCACAAGACAATAATAACTTTATGAGTGGTGTAAAGAAAAAAAGTGAGTGTGCCCAAATGAAATAAGGGGCAAACTGCACATCACCAGGAAATCTGTGCAGCAATACTTTTTTAGAAAGATAAGTGGTTTCTAGGAGGTGTAATTTTGAATGAGGGGAAGTTTAATCCTTTCCTCACCAGCAGTTTTTTAAAATTTATTTTTTATTTATTGTTAAATTTATACCCCACCCTCCCAGCCAAGGCCGACTCAGGGCGGCTTACAGAAAGTTATGATGCTCTGATTCACCCTCCAAATTGTGGCTCTTCCAGAGTTCCAGGAATTTATTTGGCAAGGCTGACGCATGAATGAAAACCCACACAAGGAAGAGCAGTACCTGGGTGTGGGTGATTTAGAACACGAGAAGCAACTGGTGGGGAGGAAGGATTAAGCATCGATTTCTGTCCCCAAACATTTCTCTACTCAAAATCATCCCTCCCAGGAAGGCAGTCCAAGTTTTTTGTTAAGTACAGTTGCATGTAATGTGCAGTTTGGCTCTATGAATGCCACAGTGTTCTAGCAGTAAAGCCCAATGTCTCTTGTGAAAGGAAAGATGGAAAGGGACGGAGCAGTCTTTTTATAACAAAAGCATTACAAGGCTTAGTGTTGTTAATGACGTTGAGAAACTACATAGGGTACTTGTATTAATATCCGTGTAAATCCATATCATTATTTATTACATTGGCTCATTTATAAATAATTTTGAAACTTTCTTGATGTGTGATGTTGGTCTCACTCTATCTCTCTTTGTATCCTGAAGCGTCCAAGACATGCCATTGTATGCTACAATTGTTGTGATACAATGATGTTTTTGCTTCTATTAAATAGGTTTGTATATTTCATTTCAACACCGTGTACCCTGTGATAAAGATATCTCACAAGAACTATTAAACCTTTTAGGGGAAAACTGCACATTAAATGTAAATAGGAAACAAATCCTTAAAGGCACCGTATTCGGATCAAGAAGTTTCTCAAAGAGAGAAATTGGTGTAAAGAAGGGAATTTGAAATTCTTTAGCAAATTTGACATTGTGCAACATCACATAAAAAGGCATAATTGGTTTTTGTAATAAGCCAGCCACCTCAAGGGTTTGTTGAGCTTACTACAGCAAGCAGTTTAAGTGTTGATTTATGCTTCCAATGTAGCTCTGCCTGTTTTTTACCAGTAAGGGTTCATCAGGAGGGGTCTTACTGGTTAGATCCTGCCCTTGAATGGATTATAGACTCATTTGTGCCTTGTATTCTGGCAAACTGATGCCTGCATCATACATTGCATGTCCTTTTGACCTACCTAGCTGGTAACAGACAAAATACTTTTTCTTATTTCTATACTTAGGGTAGATATAACTCCAACTGGGAGATTTAGAGCAGAGAAGCAATAGAGAGTGCTTAATGCTTCCTCCTCTTGCCACTTTTCTTCTGAAAATCACACATATATACCCAGTTGCTTTTAGGATTCCAGTCATGTGTTTACCCTTGCAAATACACAGGTGGAACCATGCAGGGGGAACAGCTGGAGGGGGTGAGTTGCAGCAAATCAGCCCCATCTAAAGCTATTTTCCATATTAAAAACAGCCACTGCTTCCACACAGGGATTAAAGGAGAACATCACCCTGACATTGTGTTCTTTCCGAGACTGATTCATTCCTTCCCTGTTGAGCTGTCTTAAAAATATGCCAGTTTTTCTCCAGCTCAAAAGTGCCTATATGGACACTCCCTACTTCACCACAGAAGGGGAGGGGGTAGAGCTAAGCTCCACTTTCAAAACGTTGTTCAGTAAGTGCCATTCTCTCCCCCACTGTGGCTTTTTAAAGGGATTCCTCCCCTCTTCCCCTGCTGAGCCATACTATGAGTGTGATCACACAAGCAGGTTGGCTCAACATAGCTCTCCCTCCCCTCTGGATTACATGGGCACAGTCACACAGCCACATCTGTCAAGCATTCCCCAGGCATACTCACCCTGTCATAGGATGACTTGAAGCCAGGTGAAAAAGGCACCACATCACAAGTGGTGTTTTCGGTTCCCTGTGGCCAGATGTCTGAACATAGGGAGCATGCGCAAAACAAATAGCAGTCTGAACCTGCAGATCCACTTCTGCCACTGGGGTGTGCATGATTGCATGTGTGCATGAGCACATGTATGCATGTGCATGAGCACATATGCACCCACCTGTATTTAAAAAATTCATGGCTGAGGCACTGCAGTAATGTGGATGCTTGACCAGGGACAGCCGCATGGGTAACCCACACCAGGGTGTGCTGTCTGGGTTATATGCCCTGCAACATTTTAAACCGGTACAATTAGAGGTGGTGCCATATTGTGCCAAGCTGCCAGTGTGATCACACCTTATATTGCTATAGCACAGCGAAAGGGGAAATGGCAGCAGGGGAGGTGTGAGGGGTAGGGGCTGCAGCAAGCAGCATGGTAATGGGGAGTGAATGCTGTTGGCCCTAGTTCCCATGCTTCTGTGGTGAGGGTGCCTTTTCCACCCCCTCCATGGTCTGGAATTAGCTGGGGTTTTGTTTTAGGTATTTGTGTGCAGTGCATTGTTCTATTCTTTGTAGTACTCTCTCTTCCTTCATAATTATCATTTATAGACTGCAATCCTAAATGTATTTAAGATGGCAGGCAAGGCGGGATATAAATCTAAAATAATAAATAAATAATTTAGTAGGACATAAGCCCCATGAGCTCAGTGAGATTTACTTCTGAGTAAATATGGTTAGGGGTGCACTGCATATCATTGTTCTCATGTAAAATTTCCCCCTAATGTAGTCACACCATAGCTTCATGAGACCTGAAAGCTCCACCCCTTCTCCAGGCTGCAAGCTCACACTCGGGTTTGAGAAATCCTGTCTGGGCAAGTGGAAGAGCTTCTTCCCTTGCTTTCAAAAGTGTACAGTAACACAGGAAATAACAGCAAATGGTTTTCCATGTTAGTCTCTCTGTGTGTGCGCATGTGTGTTAAGTGCCATCAAGTTTCTTCCAACTTATGGAATTCATGTCCTCCAAAACATCCTATCATTAACAACCTTGCTCAGGCCTTGCAAACTGAGGGCCATGGCTTCCTTGATTGAGTTGGTCCATCTCATGTTGGGTCTTCCTCTTTTCCTGCTGCCTTCAACTTTCCCCAGTGTTATTGTCTTTTTCAGTGAGTCTTGGCTTCTCATACCATGACCAAAGCATGATAGCCTCCATTTGGTCATTTAGCTTCTAGGGAGAGTTCAAGCTTGTTAGTCTAGTGTAGCAAAAATAGCAGAGTCCTTTAGCATCTTAAAAACAAAGATTTATTGTGAGGTAAACTTTCATAGATTAGGGTCTTCATGCATCTGAAGTAAGCTCTTGCCGACAAAAACTCGTTGCACAGCAAATGTTAGTTTGTCACAGGATTCAAGATCTGCTTTAACAGATGGTGCTTCCAGTGAAGGGGGGGAGGGTTTGCTGCCAAGTCACAACTGACTTATGGTGGCCCTGTGGGGTTTTGAAGGCAAGAGATATTCAGAGGTGGTTTGCTATTGCTTGCTTCTGTGTAGCGACCCGTGACTTCCTTGGTGGTCTCCAATCCAAATACTGGCCAGAGGTGACTCTGCTTAGCTTACGAGATCTGATGAGATCAGGCAAGCCTGGGCTATGCAGGTCAGGGGCTCCAGTGAAGAGGGGGATTAGGTTTACTGAGGTGATGGTATGCTGACATGTAATGTGCTGCCTTGCTCTATTTTGTCATCAACAGGAAACACTTACAACAATTTCCGGATCAACCCGAGCAGTGGACTGGTCATGCGGGGCTTACGGCCCCTGGACAGAGAACGCAATTCTTCCCATGTCCTGGAAGTGGAGGCCTACAACAGTGAGCAAGGACCAATGAGAAGCTCTGTTAGGGTAATGCTTCTTTAAGACATAATAAGTGCTGCTTTGTGGGGTGGGATGGATGCCAGCATGCAATCAAATATCCATCCACTGGCAATTATTGCAGATATTGCAGTGAGATAAGGCCTAAATCAGGTTTAGAAACTGGTCATTGCTGGGTGGAGAGGCAATTTGGAAATCCCATCTGCCCCCAAATCTCTCCCTTCAGGATTCTCAAGGTTCTCTGGAGCCTGAGCAGATCAATCCCCCTTTCGCCTTTAAGTGACACTCAGTTGCTCTCAAGTTTCCATCTGTTGTGAGGTGTTTTCAGTCCTCATCAGGCTGGGCCTTTTTTTACGTTAATTTACAAATTCTTATATTTGTAGATATCTGGAGTAGACCCCCATACCTTGTCTCTGGGTGGTCCTGCTATGCAGCTTTCATTATCCACAGAGACCATCCAGTTTACAATTATATACAGTGGTAGGCAAACAGGTCTAAACAGTTTCACTAAGTCAAGTGACTCAGCTGCCTTGGGGACAGATGAGGACTCTGCTGCAGAAACGGGTGCGGGAGCAATGAAAACTGTATATGATTTTAGAGACAGAAAGCTGAAGTAAGGGCAGAAGGACTCTGATAAAAGGCCCTTTGAAACAAAGAAGATGCTCAGAAAGTTCTCTCATAATAACTAATTTACTAATACAGAACAATGTGGAAAACAAGAACTCTACAAGTATATTGTTTTACTAACTTTTAATACTAATATTAAGTTTAACATGAAGGGGGTCTCCCACTTTTGGGTTTTTAGTTAGTGTGGGTATCTTTCCTTTATCCATAGTTGTAGTTCCCCCTCCTATTTTTTCTTTGTAGTTTGTAGTCATATTGAAAAAATAAAAATACCCCTCCGGGTTTTGTTTTGTTTTAAAGGACTAAACAGTTTCAGTGCAAATGCTGCTGATTTCTACACACACACACACACACACACATCGGTTTTGAAGAGATGGAAATTTGGGGCAAATATTTGCTGAATGGCTAATACAGCTCTGTTACCCTTTTGAAGTAAACGACGCTTTCCTCTGTGCTTCAGTGAAGGTTGACGAGTTCAAAGAACGACACACACAAACAGCTCTGCAGAAATCTGACTGAAGTGTTCTCACTTCGCAGCCTTTTATTAAGAAAAAATCTTCCCCCTTTTCTCCCTCCCATGCACATTGAAAGTTACCAGCATACTATGGAATGTGTTATGCAGACAACGCACTCTGTTATCTTCGTTGAAGTCAGCAGATGTTTTTACCTTATGCAATTAGCACTCACTCACTCTGGTTCCCAATCTCCAGGCAGGAGTAGTGAATTCCGGGTTCCAGATATTCACCATTCCCACACTTCAGGATCAATTCCATAATAAATTTAAAAAATCAACACAATGAATTTCAAAATGCAGCATATGCATAATGCAGTGTTTTATGTCAGACAGGCTGACTTACTTGGAAACTTGAATCAACCGCCTTAGGGTGAAACTAGATGAGAAACTGGAGATTCATTATTGGCTCTTCGGACACTTTCAGTTTCTGTCAATAGCACCTAGAGGGCTCCTTGAATGAGACTGGGATGGCTGTGCTAGGGGAGGGGCATTAACCCTTAAGCTGTTTGCCACAACAGGGAAAAACATTAGGCATGCACCAAAAAAGTTCAAACTTGTTTCAAATTCTTTAATATCAGTAGTAGAAACAGAATTGTAGAACTGTTCAGGAGGACATTTATATAAAGGGAACAGTGTGGTAGTTACTGCCTGTGAAATTTTAGGCAGCTTTCACTGAATTGCTCTTTGTTTATTATTTATATACATTATTTATAGTCCGCTTTCTCACCGGAACTCAAGGCAGATAACATAGAATAAATCAGTACAGTCAGCAAAGTGGAACCTCCAAAAGACAATGCCATAGTCCCTCCAGGTTGGGTGAAGATTGGATTTAGGGGGGCTGAGTTACAGCCCCCCAAAGCAGGTGCCCCCAGGAAAGTGTTCTCTGGGAAAATCACAGCCACAGGTTCAGGAGTGTGTCAAACAAAACCCCCTGCAAGCTAGAGGCATCAAGCTTACAGAGGACCTCCCCAGGCTGCCCCTCTTCCTACCCTCCATGTTTGGTGAGGATTGGCTGTGGGAGACCTCATTAGCAGCCCCTCAAAGCAAGTGCCCCCTGGAAAGTACTCTCTGGGGAAATCACAGCTGACCCTTTTTCTTGAGCCCGAGAACCGGTCAAAAAAAAGAAGACACTGGATTTATATCCCGCCCTTCACTACCCAAACGAGTCTCAGAGTGGCTTACAATCTCTTTTCCCTTCCCCTCCCCACAAAAGACACCCTGTGAAGTAGGTGGGACTGAGAGAGCTCTTAAGAGAACTGCTCTTTCCAGAACAGCTCTTGGAGAACTGTGACTGACCCAAGGTCATGCCAGCAGTTGTATGTGGAGGAGTGGGGAACCAAACCCAGTTCTCCCGGATTAGAGTCCGTGCACTTAACCACTACACCAAACTGGCTCTCAAGGTGACTGGGTTTTGGGGGGTGGCCCAGAAGGTGGTCACTCAGTTGTGAAAATGGATTTGGGGGGTGGCCAACCCTTTTCTTCTGGCCCAAGAGGTGGTCATCCACCTGCCTCCTTATTGGGGACTGGGTTTTGGGGGGTAGCACACCATACTCCCTCTCAGGCCTGGGAGGTGATCACCTGGTTATGAAGATGAATTCTAGGGTGGCCAACCCTTTCCCTCTGGTCTGGGAGGCACCCATCCACCTCCCCCTGGTGACTGGGTTTTGGAAGCTGGCCCGCTACACTCCCCCTTGGGCCTGGGAGGTGGTCACCCAGTTGTGAAGATGGATTCTGGGGGTGGCTAACCCTTCCCCTCTGGCCCAGGAGATGGTCACCCACCCACCTGCTTGTTGAAGGACATAGATTCTGGGGGTGTTCACCCCTTCCCATCATGCCTGGGTGGTGGTCACCTGCCTACCTCCTCATTGGGGACATGGATTCCAGGGGTGGCTAACCATTCCCCTTGGGCCTGGGAGGCAGTCACCTGCCCGTTGTTGCTGTAGATGAGGAAACCTTGGGTGCAGTCAAACAAGCTCACTTGTACAGATGGATGTTTGACAAGGTAGAGGTTTGCATAGGTAGAGGATGGCCCACGAGGGAGGTGTTAACCTATGAGGTAGATCTTGGTTCATGAGGTGGGTGTTGCACTATGAGGCAGATGTTGGTTTATGAGGTAGGTGTTGTGCTATGAGGTAGGTCTTGGTTCATTAGGTGGGTGTTGTGCTATGAGGGACATCTTGGTTATTAAGGTGGGACTCATGCTGGGATTCATGCTGGGACACAACTCATGAGGAGGCAGACATGGATGGAGGAGGGGCTGGAATCGATGATTCTTGGTGGGACTCAACTCATGAGGAGGCAGACGTGGACTGGGAAGGCTGGAAGTGATGATTCTTTGTGGAACAGAACTCATGAGGAGACAGATGTGGACTTGGGGAGACTGAAAGTGATGGTTCATGGAAGGACAGATATGGTGAAAAGGTGTGTGTGGATGGGGGAGGCTGGAAGCACCAATTCTTGGGGGGGACAAAAATTGTGAGGAGGCAGAGGCTCCTCTGCATAGGTAGATGGCTGAAAGTGACGATTCTTGGGGGGATGCAAATGCTAAGGAGGAGGTGTTTGCAAATCCCAATGAGGGGGAGTGTGGTGGAGCAGCCCTCGAGCACAAGGGGAAAAGGCTTTTTAACATGGAAACAGAGCCCTGGTAAGAGCAGCCACAACCAGAATCCATCTCCCCAACTGGGTGGGTGAGGCTTGAAGCACTGATTCTAGGTGAGACACAAGTCATGAGGAGGTAGACATGGATGGGGCAAGGCTGGAAGTGAAAATTCTTGGGGGGACACAAATCATAAGGAGGCAAATGTGGACATGGGGGAGCTGAAAGTGAAAATTCTTGGGGGGACAGATATGGTGAAGAGACATGTGTGGATGGGGAGGCTGGAAGCAACCATTCTGAGGGGGGTGCAAAGGCATAGGAAGAGGTGTGCATTGACGGGAAGGCTAGAAGCGACAATTTTGGGGGGGAATAAATCATGAGGAGGCAGACATGGACATGAAGAGGCTGAAAGCAACAATTCTCAGAGATGCAAAGGCATAGGAGGAGGCATGCATTGACGGAGAGGCTGAAAGTGACAATTCTTGGGGGGACAGAAATAATGAGGCAGTCATGGACACGGGGAGGCTGAAAGCGACAGTTCTTGGGGGGACAGATATGGTGAATAGACGGGTGTGGACAGGGAGGCTAGAAGTGACAATAATGAGGGGGACACAAAGGCATAGGAGAAGGTGTTCAAACATCCCAGTGAGGGGGAGTGTGGGTCCTCAGCTGAGGAACCCAGCAGCTAAGCCCCTCTGTTCGGTTTGAGCAGAAGAACAGGTGCCTCAGAGCCCTGAGTAAGCACCAAGCACAACTCCAAGCAGGGAGAGGTGTTCACAAATCCCAATGCAGGAGAATGTGGGTCCTCAGCTGAGGAGCCCAGTACTTAAGTCCCTCTGCTGAATGTGAGGAGGACACTGTTGTGCCATCCCCTGGATGTTGCTCGGTGAGGTAGGTTGTGCTGGGAGGTGAATATTGGCCCTCTAGGTATGAGGCAGGTGTTTAATTATGGGGTGGATGTGCTTGAGTTGGGGGACCGCCAGCCCACCCTCCCCTGGCAGAGGCAGCCATCTTCCCATCCAAGTGCCAAGAGTGCAATCCACATGCCAGATGACTCAGGAGTCAGGGAAAGGGGGGAGACAAGGGTCTTGGATCTTTACTACCCAAGGTCCAGGGAGGGGTAGCCCAGCAGTGGAAGGCTGACATTGAGGAAGGCCAATTCATCCACCAAGACTGGGGCCAGGTGTGAGTGGTGGGGGTTGAGGATGTCTCCCAGGTGGGAGAACACCCGCTCACTCTGGAAACCGGGGGTGGGGGCAGGAGAGGAGGCTCATGGCCACACAGGTCTGGCCAGAT